TCGTATTAATTCTAGTTTCCTAGTTGTCCGTATCCGATTTATTATATCTTCATAAGCAATATTCCGCAAGAGCAGATATTCCGATTGGGTGGTGAGCCCAAGCATGCTTGGTACTCATTTTATCGACAGACTCAAGGCATGAAAGGCTGAGTCAACCTTGCCCGGCCCGAGGATCGAACCAAGTACTGCGCGAAGCGCTACCACTCAGCTACCGGGTATCTATGGATATATATAGATAAAAAACTCGACACGGAATGATGTTTGTTTGTTTTTTAGTGACAAGGTGATTTTTTTAACAGAAATGAGTAAAACTATACCAATAATCACATCAGACAATAATTACATTCTATAACACTGGTTTGCACAGTTTTCGTTGCATAATTTATTACGTCTTTATTGTAACTTCTGATAATTTTTTGATCAAGTTAAAGTGCCAACCCTTGCTGACATTGCAACTACAGTTAGTGTATGCTTATAGTATGTTTGATTGTCCTTAATTTTGTGTATTTGATCGTTTATGTGGTATTTTTCGAGTGACCTTACCTCTTTAACCTGAATCATATCTCTTGGGCGGATTGGGAAAGCACCCCATTCAGTCTATATTCATATTCAGTCTATATCAATAGCTCATTGCGCATCTCTAGTACGACGTAAATAAAATACCTACTTACCTACCCACCTTCAATTATTTTTAATTTATATATATTGAACTAAGTACACTGTTCTTCTCCGTTTTCTCCTATTCTTAACTTTATAAATAATTTGTTTTCTAATTTCTAGATAAATAAAATGACAGATTATCTATATTTTATAGAGTTCCTATCTAACTGCTTCATCACGAAAGAATGGATTCCCGTTAATCCATATTATTATGCCGATCCTCATTTCCCGCATAGCATTGAAGATGCTGAGGATTACTGCCACTCGTTGGAAAAGGATTTGTACAGACCTAAATTACTGAAACACTTGATAGTAGATATCAAGGGGCACAAAATGTGTTCAACATTAAAAAGTAAGAATCATGATTATTTAATTTATATAATTTTTTGATGTAATTTTCGGAAGTTCACGCATTAGATCTCAATGTTCGTGGAAATGACTTTAAATATGCTAATTAGTTATTGCGAACAATATTTTAAGTTCAGACGTAAAAACATTTTGTTGTTTATACTACTTGACAATAATAGCTAGCCTGCTATGGATAACGAAGCGAATTTAAGGCAATGGGTGAGATTGTTCTTGTTTTCCAGTGGTGCCATCTACGACCCAAAATTTGGATTTTGCCACACAAGCGTCACAGCCCGTTTATAGATAGGACCCATTCATTCATCCTCTGATCATAATTCTGACCTGACCCAGAGAATGATCCAACTTCAATTCAGTACCCTCATAAGTATTTTATTTTAATTTATTACTGCAGTTGAACAGCCAATTCAGTTTTGGTTTACGACTACTAATGTTTTGAATCCAATGCAGAGAACATGGGAACTCCTGGTGCAAGTATAGGGAGAAATTTGCCTTCGTGGAGGACTTTTTTTGATGGAACTAACCCGCATTTGCGTTACCTGGAGAGGAAAATCAAGAAGACTTCCCCCGACTAGTCTGGCTGTAAGGGGACTGTCTGCCATTGAGGTTATTTTACGTCAGCAATGTTGTTGGTGCGAACCTGGTGTGGAATTCATTTCCACCAGCCATAGCTGGGATTTGAAACAGGTGCCAGAAGCTTGATTTGTTATGAGAGCTTCGATGACTTTTTTGACCTCGAACGATTCAACCAGCACCAGTCACCATTTAATACATGGTGATTCTTCTGCTGGCGGAATAAAATTTCTCCCCATTAATAACTCCCATAAAATAACTCCCATTATGTACCCTCATAATTATTTTATATTATAACTATCGTAGAACAGCCAACTCAATTTTGGACTACTAATGTTCTACTTCATAGCCTTGTAATTTTGAACCCAATGCAGAGAACAGGGGAACTCCTGGAGCAAGTATTGGGAGAAATTTGCCTTTGTTGAGGACTTTTTGAGGGAACTAATCAGCATTTGCCTTACATGGAGAAGAAAACCAAGAAGACTACCCCCGGTTAGTCTGACGGATGGGGGATTGTCTACTACTGAGACTATTTTAAGTCAGCACTGTGATTAGTGCAAACCGGGTGCGGAACTTATATCGAACAGCCAGGGCAGGGATTTGAACCCGGAAGTATGGATTTGTTATTAAAACGTTGAAAGATTTAATCTGTACCAGTCACCATTTTCTACATGGTGATTCTTCGGCCGGCGGGATAAGATTTTGCGTTCTCATGAACACAGGGCCAACGTCCTACCAACCAGGCTACCCGGCCTACATAAAAACATACTTTCATTAAATAAACGTACCATTCTTTTTAATTGAATTATGATTCCATACCCTCGAAATTTAGAGAGTAGCTGCAATCTGGGATACATCGACCCACAAGAGTGGTCAAACGTTTGCACCCTTTATTGTTAATTATACTTTATGCACACTTCTACATATATCAAGAACATTATTTTAAGTGAATTAAAAGAAATTTTGCATACAATTATAAAATTCGTTAAAGCAAAGATAATTCCATGCAAAAAAAAAAGAATAACTTTAGTAAACATTTATTACTTCTTATTACTTTATTAAATAACAGTCGAAAAATATTTAAAGTGCAAGATATGCATATTTTTTCACTTTACATCCTTTAAAAAAAGTATTTTTATGTGGTAAAATGAAAATTTCGCATCAATTATATTGAATAGTTCCTGTGAAATCAAATTTGAAATTAGATTTCTCAGTAATTATTTGACCGGCTTCATTCAAAATTCGTAATTAATCATCCAGAAATTTATTATACAGATAATTAATAACGCAAGATACGTGAACTGCGGATAACCTATATTATAATTTATCGGAATGTTATAAATTATCCGAATGTTATTGATTATCGAATGTCATTAATTATCGTTCAAAATTATAATTATAAATTACTAAATTATTAATGTTATTAAAAATGTTTCAGTTACGTTCCTTCCTTTTGTTACGATGCAAACGCTTTGACGTTTTTTTAATGAGCTGAGAAATTAATTGCTACATCTTTTACAAACATGTAAACATTTCTATCTCATATTTTAAAAACATATATTGCTACGTAGATTATATGCATTATATGACATTTTAATTAATTTATTTATTTTTTCATGCTTTCAAATATTGCATATAACGTGAACTGAATTTATTTCCTTACATTTCAGAAAGGAAAAACACAGTATATTTCGAGCCTACACGGATTGACCTGAAACATTTTATTTTCACTACTGATTATCAGGTAGAAGTATACGAAGGATTTGCTGGATCACAAGAAGAAATTTATTTGAAAGAATATAATTTGGATTTAGCTTGGGGAAAACAGAATGCAATCATGCTCGTAAAAAATGAATCCCTGTTTCTAATTCAGCATGCAAAGAGTGTACCTTACTTTTGCGTGAAGCATTCAACACCTACCGGGACACCAGACTGGACTTTTCTTACTAACACTACACCAGTGTGAGTAATTTTATTTAATTTTTACAACCGTCGTTGAACCAATTGAGTTTACGACTACTTATGTTAAACTCTGTAGCCTTGTAATCTTGAATTCTACCCAGAAGACAAGGAAACTCCTTGATCAAGTATTGGGAGAAATTTGCTTTTGCGGAGAGCAATTTTGATCTAACTAACCCGCATTTGTGTTACATGGGAAAACCTCGAAGCCTATCACGGTTAGCCAGACGGCTAGGGAACTCTAACTCGTGATCCGTCTATCACAACTATTTTGCGTCAACACTGTAGTCAGTGCGAGCCGGGTACGGAATTCCTATCTATCAGCCACTTCTGTGATTTGAACCCGGTCCACCTCATTGAAAGGTGAGCGCTCTATCCCCTGAGCCACTACGGCTAAATGTGAGTAAAGGATAAAAATAAAAAGCATTATTTTTGAAAGTAGAATAAGTCTATTTTTAGAAAATAGTTAACAATATTTTCGGTAATATATATCGAGAAAATTAGGAATGCAATATGAATGAATAATCATAATAATAAATAACAATATTTTAAAAACGTGAGATTTTGAATTTATTCTAATTAATTTGTTTATCTTTTTGTCTGTTTTTTTTTCAATTTTTTCTATAGTTCAAAATTTTGTATGAATATGGTTTCCACAATAAAAAAGAAACTTAAATCTGGTAATACATTCAATAAATTCAAACTGTTTCATATATATTAGTTTAAAAATGCTTATTTGAAAAATGATATTCAAGTAAAAAAGAAAAGATGATGTTAAATCCACAATTAAAAATAATTTTGTGAATTAAATTATGAATCTTGTGAATTAAATTATGAATCTTGTGAATTTAATTCTGCCTTTATTACTCTTAACTGAATTCCGTATGAAACTCGGAGTAAATTTTTTTATTGTTACATTATAGTCTTTGAACTTGCGATCTAATTATCTTGCTATTTTATTCCAAATCAACTTAAAAAATACATCTATGGTCCCAGCATCGAAAAATTAAATAATTATATGTCATTGTAAATATTAGTTCTGAGATATAATTTTGTCTGAAATTGTACATATAAGTGGCATCATTCAAGATTACCGATGTTAAATCCCTTACCATATTTTAAGCATGTATTGAAGCAAGCTTTTTTATGTAATTAAAAAAATAATTTATAATATCTAAAATTTTAAAAAGAATTTCAACGATGTCTCTTAATTATCAATATTTGCAATGCAAACAAAATGGCTATTTTTCTTGTTTCATTGAGAACTCTTAAATCTCAGACTCCAAAACATTGAACATGTTCTTAAAAAAAATTTACATCTACGCCTAAGGAGGGATTCAAACCAACAACCACTGACTCTGTAGTCCAGTACAGTAACCACTAGACCAGTGATCGGCTAAACTGCACGAGTTATATTTTTTTTTGATAGCTCCTTTTTCAAAGAGGCATACAAAAACGACTAATTTCTTTGTTTAAGACTAAATATTTTGAAACAAAAAATACTCCAATGCATTTATTATACCGCCACTCTCAATCAAAAAAATGGCAGCAAACAGCGTTGCCATCTCTCGCCAATGTCCTTCAAACCAGAAAAAAGAAACTTGCTTGCGAAAAAAAGGTTTGACTCATTGGATCATGGCATAGTCGGTATTTATCCGCTATCGGTATTTTTCAGTATTTATCGATAATCGGTATTTATCAAGCGTCGATAATTTTTGGTATTTATCAAATGTTGATATTTTTTGCTATTACTGCGCTTTGATATTTTTCAAAATTAATCATATTTACGATTTATTAAAAGAATATTATTTTAATATTGTTATTTTGATAACATAAAATATATTGGTATTTCATGATATATCGATTTAATATTTGAATTTCTTTATATTACCTGCGTTCAATTAAATCTCCTACTATTTTCTCAGTATTTGGGATAATAGATGAATAATTAGTTATAAATATAACAAACAATTAAATTTACAGTTTTCTTTAATTACTCTAACAGATTGGGTGATTGGCGACAATGAATTAGACTGATAAATTCCATTTTTTATTACAATGCTTACAAAACATTTCTAAGTGTGCTAACACTACTGCATTTCTTTAAAATATAGCGACAAAACGTTGCCAGACATAACACTCAGCACAGACGTCAGTGAAACCATGCCAGATGCATCACTCACTACAGACTACAGTGAAACCATGCCAAATACAACAGTCAGCACAGACTTCAGTGAAACCATGCCAGATAAAACAGTCAGCACAGACTTCAGTGAAACCACGCCAGATGCAACACAAAGCACGGACTTTATTAAAACTCTGCCAGATACGACAAACGTCACAGATTTCAATGGTAATTCCTGCTTTAGTCATTTAACATTTAATTATTTAATTTTGCAAATTTCACCTCAAAAACTCAAAAAAATATCTTAATAGCAGTGTTGACTAAGATAGTAGGAGAGGGATGTGTGGGCCATTTCCCGGTATTTCATATATATATATATACCATTATCCTCCTATTATCCTAGTAAATAAATCTGTATCCTATTAATTGTAGTTTCCTAGTTCTCCGTNATATATATATATATATATATATATATATATATATATATATATATATATATATATATCATTATCCTCCTATTATCCTAGTAATTCTAGTATCCTAGTTCTCCGTATCCGAGTATTTCTATATCCATACTATAATAAATATATCCGTATTCTAGTTTCCCAGTTCTCCGTATCCAAACAATTCTTTCTCCATATCCTAGTAATTCTAGTTTTCTAGTTCTCCGTATCCGAGTTATTCTATCTCCATATCATAATAAATATACTCGTATCGTATTAATTCTAGTTTCCTAGTTCTCCGTATCCGAGTAATTATATCTCCATATCCTGCAAGAGCAGATGCTCCGGTTGGGTTCCGGTTGAGCCCAACGCGGAAACCCTAGTGTCTAGTTCCCAAGCATTCTTGGTACTCATTTTATTGACAGACTGAAAGCATGAAAAGCTGAGTCAACCTTGACCGGCCCGAGAATCGAACCAAGGACCAGTGGCATAACAGCGCGAAGCGCTACCACTCAGCTACCAGGTATCTATGGATATATATAGATAAAAAAACGCGACGAGGAATGATTTTTTTTTAGTGAAAAGGTGATTTTTTAACAAAAATGAATAAAACTAGAACAACAATCACATCCGACTAGATTTCTACTACACTGGTGTGCACAGTTTTCGTTGCACAATTTATTACTTCTTCATTGTAACTTCTGATAATTATTTGATCAAGTTAAACTGCCAACCCATGTTGAGATTGAAACTACAGTTAGTATATTATGTTTGATTATCCTTAATTTTGTGTACTTAATCGTTTATGTGGTATTTTTCGAGTGACCTACTTACCTCTTCAACCTGGATCACGTCTCTTGGGCAGAATGGGAAGGCATCCACCTTTAAGTCTATATTCATAGCCAGTCTATATCAATAGCTCATTGCGCATCTCTAGTACGACGTAAATAAAATACCTACTTACCTACCCACCTTCAATTATTTTTAATTTATATATATTGAACTAAGTACACTGTTCTTCTCCGTTTTCTCCTATTCTTAACTTTATAAATAATTTGTTTTCTAATTTCTAGATAAATAAAATGACAGATTATCTATATTTTATAGAGTTCCTATCTAACTGCTTCATCACGAAAGAATGGATTCCCGTTGATCCATATCTTTATGACGATCCTCATTTACCGCATAGCATTGACGATGCTCAGGATTACTGTCACTCGTTGGAAATGGATTTGTACAAACCTAAATTACTGAAACACTTGATAGTAGATGCGAAGGGGCTCAAAATGTGTACACCATCGGAAAGTAAGAATCATGATTATTTAACTCATAGAATTTTTGACGTAATCATCGGATATTCGAGCATCAGGTCTCTATCCTAATGTTCGAAGGAATGATTTTAAATATGCTAATTAGTTATTTGGAACGATATTTTAAGTTCAGACATAAAAACATTTTTTGAAGCGTATGTAGCCTGCTATGGATAACCAAGCGAATTTAAGGTAATGGGTGCGATTACTCTTGTTTTCTTCTATTACCGAGAATTTGACTTCTGCCACACACGCTTCACAGCCCGTTTACAGATAGGACCCATTCATTCATCCACTGATCATAACTCTGACCTGACTAACATTTGCGTTGCATGGAAAGAAAAACCAAGAAGACTTCCCCCGGTTAGTCTGACGGTTTGAGGACTGTCTACCACTGAGGTTATTTCAAATCACCTTTGTGGTTGGTGCGAACCGGGATCGCAATTCATATCGAACAGCCATCACTGGGATTTAAACCTGGTCCCCAAAAGTATTGATTTGTTATGAAAACTTCGATTTTTTTTGACCTCGAAAGAATTGACCTGTACCAGTCACCATTTAATACACGGTGATTCTTCGGCCGGTGGGACAAAATTTCGCGACCTCACGAACACAGTGTCAACGTGATACCAACCAGGCTACCCCGGCCTACATAAAGACATACTTTCTCTAAATAAACGTACCCGTTTTCGTTGAATTATAATTCCATACCCTCGAACTATAGATAACTATATATATACAATTTAATTTCTGAAACCTTTCTGTAAGAAAACATTGGAAAATTAATATAATTGTTATCTTTTTGCGATGTTCCAAGTTACTATTAAAATGTTTCAGTTACGTTCCTGCCTTTAGTTACAATGCAAACGCTTTGTAGTGCGTCTACCACTACAAAAATACAATTCGAATTCATTCACTAGTATATAAGACATGTTAACTCGATTCTATGTTGAGGTGCCTTTTCATAGATGAAAGTTGACATTGTCGGTACCACAGCTTTGGCGTTTTTGTATTGAGCTGGGAAATTAATTTCAACTTTGTAAACATTTCTACCTCATATATTTGAAACATACATGGCTACATTTTGTGCTGCATAGGGAATATGCATTATATGTAATGCTAATTAATTAATTTATTTTTTCGTGCTTCCAAATATTGCATATAACGGGGATTTAATTTATTTTTTTACATTCCAGGTAGGAAAAACACAGTATACTTCGAGCCTTTACGAATTGACCAGAAACATTTTATTTTCACTACTGACTATCAGGTAGAAGTATACGAAGGAATGGCGGGACCTCTAGGAAATTTTTATTTAAAAGAATTTAATTTGGATATAGATTGGGGAGAACGGAATGCAATCCTATTCGTAAAAGATGAATCCATGTTTCTAATTCAACATGCAAAGCATGTACCTTACTTTTGCATAAAGCATTCAGCGCCTACCAAGACACCAGACTGGACTGTTCTCACTAACACTGCACCAATGTGAGTAATTTTATTTCATTTTTATAACCGTCGTTGAACAGATGATTCAATTGAGTTTACGACTACTAATGTTCAACTCTGTATCCTGTATCTTATTAGTAGTCTGTAACATGTATAATTTCTATCAGCTTTCATTCTGTTAAGCCTTGTTTGAGTCTGTCTTTATGTTATCTGGTCTTAACTGAGCAGCCCCAGTTAAGCATTCTATTAATTTGTTTACGTATTTCTTTCTCCTGACCTTTTCCATTTCATTTTAAACTTCTTCTGCGCATTATAATAGGGGGCGTTGTTTTTTCAGTTTTTAGTGTTTTTTTTTCTTCTACTTGCTTTTGAAGTTGATGTGACTTAGTGAGTTTTTATTTTTCTGATGATTTTGATTGAGTTTCTTTTCTTAATTTGTTAATTATTTTGAATGTATCTTGTTTTCCCTGGACCTATATACAAAACCATCGGGGTACTGAGGGAGATATTTTAAGCATTTGTTTCTCCCTCAATTAGAAATGGTTTTGTTTTAAATGGCTACCGAGGCCGGTACCCCTTGAAGACGTCGGCTTCGGTGGTCATATTTTTATTCCTTCGTTTCTTTTAATGTTATCTGGGTGCTCCTCGTCTGTTGGTTTTATAAACTAGTTTTATTTTGAAAAATTCGAAAATCGTTCTTAACTAATAATTCCTACTTTATATTGTAATTTATTTTATTACAACCAGTCTAATTTTGGGTATACGACTACCAATGTTCAACTCCGTAGTCCTGTTATTTTGAATCCTATCCAGCAGACAAGGGAACTCCTGGATCAAGTATTGGGAGAAATTTACTTTCGTGGAGGACCTTTTTGATGGAACTGACCAGCATTTACGTTACATGGAAAGGAAAACTCGAAGACCTCTCACGGTTAGCCTAATAACTGGAGGACTCTAACCCATGATCAGTCTCATTAAACCACTGAAGATATTTTACATCGGCACTGTGGTCGGTGCGGAATTGGTATCGACCAGCCATCGCTGGGATTTGAACCCGGTTCACCTCATTGAAAGGCGAACGTTCTATCCCCTTAGCCATCACGGCTCAATGTTTTTTAATCGATAAAAAGCGTTATTTTTGAAAGTTTAATAAGTCCACTTTTAGAAAATAGTTAACAGTATTTTCAGTAATGTATATATATCGCATTTTTATATTTTTATATTTTTAATTATTCATGCATTGTTGTACGATTCATACGATCAAAAGAATTTTGGCTAATTATTTTAACGTAAAAACACTTTTTTGAAGGAGTGATCAGTCTCAAATCTGCAAAAAAAGCACAGATGTAAGTACAGAAATGGAAATACTATACAATTCGTAAACAAGAACTTTCCTCGGTGTCTAAACACCAAACGATGGTAGAAAACTAAAAAGAAAAGCATGTGCAAAGAGGTTTAACCAATAAGGACAGAGGAACAAGTTTGAGCAAATTAATAAAAAAGAGAGATACAAAACATGTGTGAGGGGCTTTGACTGCAATCTTAGATTGCAACAGATTGAATTACAATATGCTTCCAAATGTTGAATAACAGAGGGATACTGGAAAGATCATAAACTGATTCCTAAAAATCAAGTTTGTTTGATAAAGAGTAGTGTTTAATGATTGAAGCGGTATAAAACTCACACTTGTGATTAGAACTTCAACTTTGTTATGTGATGGAAGATCGATGAATGTACTGCTTTTTGACAAATCTTTCGTGTTCAAGTCGAAGTTAAGAGTATGTTTTGTTTGTCCAAAATATGCGAGACCGCATTAGCATGGAATTCGATGATTATTACCACAGCTGTTAATATCAGTAATAGAGTCTTTAAGGCCGATGATATTTAGTTTATTAACAGGATAATAAAGCGACTTTAAATGAAAATTGATTCAAAATCTATACAATTTGGGAATTAATTTGCGTATAATAGGGTAAAATAATTTAGTTGCTGAAGTTCGAATTAGAGAATTTGGTGGATTGCAAACTTAATTTTCTATCGTTAATGTTGATAATATAAGAATAATAACGCATACTTCAGCGATAACTTTAAGGTAAAGGATGTCTTCATTGAAGAAATAATCATTTGACCGAAATGTTCAATTCAAATCAATACTTCCTGTTGGTTAAAACACTCTTCGCGCAGGTCTATCTCTTTATTTCTCTACCATTATTTGGTGTTTAGACCCTGGGAAAGGCTCTTGTTTATACAATCGGAACTATAGTGTGTCCACTTCTGAACTTTTATCTGTATTTTGTCATGATTTTTTAAAGCACCTACACAGCGCAAAGTATACCCTATTCTTTTTGGAATAAGTCCATTTCTAAGAGTCGACGTTTAAAAAACTTGCGATTTGCATTCTCAAATTACTGTATGCCATGGAAATTTTCACTCGTAAGAGAACACTTTCTAACAATAAATACCAACTCGATCAAGCACTTAGCTAATTTACTATGTTTTGCTCCAATTATGTTTTGCTCCAAAGTCATTATTTATCTGATTTCGCTTAGTATTCTTTCGCAAGATCTGCTGTTTGGCTTATGTTTCAATACTGCCGTGCAATTGAAACAGCAACGTAAGTACTTCATAGAGTTCTAGAAAAGTGGCTAGAAACTTTTTTTTTCTATTGCTAATGCAATGAATGCTAATATTAATTTTTTTTGAAAAAAAAACTACATATTTGCAATATGAAACTTATCATACAAATATGCCTCACTTTCGAATATTCTGTTGCTTGAATTGATCTTTCTAATCCACAACATTATATTATTCAACTGCAACAATTGGGTACTTGCATTTCAAGAAAAAGATCATTGATACCCAGACATGTGACCTCTCGCATGCTTCACGCATGCTAACGGATAAAAGTGTAAACGGGATTCTCCCGAGATCAGTTTGTGATATTATATAATTCCCTACTTAGCAGAGAAGGCAATTTGTTAACAATCGAAGCAAGTAGGGAATTTTATAATAACATAAACAGATAGAGGGAAAATTCCTTTAACACTTGAGCACGCTCAAAACTATCGAAACTTTAATATCGAACTATCTTTAAATCGCGAAAATATGAACGCATTTCGTACGAAATCAGACACAAAAAACGTACTTTCTCTGAATAAACCAACTTTTGCTTCAACGGATTCGGATTTCTGACTCCCAAAATATAGGGGGTAGACGCAATCTGAGAAATTGGTCCCAATAATTTGGTCACGGAAGCTCTCCAGATTTTACTCTTTGCGTATTTTACTATATCAGAGAACTTTCTAATCGAATCAAAAAAACTTTTGCACACAATTATAAAATTCATTTATCCAAAGATTCATTTATCCATGCAAAAAAAATAATTTTTTGTAAATATTAGTCATTTTTATTATTTTATTTAATGATGGTCAAAAAAGTTTTGAAGTGTAAGATATACAAGTTTTTGCATCTTTTTAAAGAATATGATTTTATGTGACAAAATTGTATTTTTTTTAGTTAAAAAATTTTTGAGAAATTTAATTTCAAATAAGTCAGATATTTGGTAATAAACAGTAAAAAACAATTTGCATTAAGGGGCTCAAATTTTAGAGCGCTCGTCAGACCAAACTAGAGGGACCATATTTCCCAGATTACGGCTATCCTATATTTTGGAGGTCAGAAATCCGAATCCGTCGAAAAAAAGGCATGTTTTTTCAGCGAATCATTAGATCAAAAGTTATTCAGGGTGGTGCGTTTTTTATTCTAAGCGCACGGTCCGGGAAACATCCCTGAGGCTTATCCGAATACATGCCATCGAAATTTTAATCCCCTGCAGAGGAGATGGCTTTCCTGATTTGGTAGCCCAACGAACTGCACGCGAAGTCGAGCTTCTTACGGTAGAAAAGTTTAACGAGGACCTAACCGCGCATCCTCGGTCTCTACACAGGCTGATCAAAGTGGTCACCCATCCACTTACTGACCGCAGCCAGAGATGCTTGACTTCAGTGTTCTACTGGGAACCGTGCCTTTGCGATAAGTTCACTAAGTGACCCACTCTCTCCTTGTAAGTTATAAGTTGTCTATGTATATTCGAATATGACTAACACTTCACGGCGTACAGAACAGATTTGAGACAAAAATAAGAATTTAAAATCAAGAAAAATAGTAAAAACCTATATTTGTTATACACATATGTTATTGATATACATTCCTTTGATATACACTGGTGAACAAAATTAAGAGATGGAAAGCATTTTCGTCACATTTCTCTAAAAATACCGCACAGTTGATTGCCATATATGGTCACTGTAGCGCTATTGACCCTGAGATAAGTTTACGTATTCTTGTGGGCGTTGCTAAGCCAGCAGGAGTTATAAAAGTCCGGATCGAGCTGTTCATCTCATTCCACTCTTCAACACAGTTGAAGATTTTAGTGCATTTTTTGAGTAACCTTGTTGTTTCTTTCTGGTTTTTAAGTGAAAATCATCGTTTAGACGAAGGTATGAGGTGGAGAATTGTGGGTAGACTTGAGGCAGGCCAGTCCCAAGCTCAGATTGCTAGGGAATTGGATATAACACCAAGCGTCATTTCCAATTTGTGGAGTCAATTTAAAACTAGTAGGACAGTATGCAGACGACCAGGACAAGGTCACCCGAGGGCTACAACGGCCAATGAAGACCGGTATTTGTTCCTTTCAGCTAAGCGCCAGAGGACGGCTGCAGCCACTCAATTGTCTAGGCTATTGTCTTCGCGGCTGCTACAGGAACATCAATTTCGTGTAAGACAGTTTCCAGGAGACTCCATGAAAGAAGGCTGTATGCCAGGAAGCCCGTTATTTGCATTGCACTCATTCCCTCCCACAAAAGAGAGCGTGCAGAATGGTGCAGACAACATCAGAATTGGACACGGCTTCAATGGGCTAATGTTCTCTTCACCGATGAGTCCAGATTCAGTCTACAACCTGATTCTGGACGGTTATTGATGTGGAGGGAACCTGGAACCCGATACCATCCCAGCAACATTATCGATAGCGACCATTATGCTGGTGGAGGACTCATGGTTTGGGCAGGGATCATGCAAGATACCCGCACACCGCTCCATATGTTTCACAATGGTACCGTGAATACCTAGAGGTACTGGCAGGAGGTCCTAGAGCCCTATGGGCGTCTTTTCAGGGGCGCTGTTGGCCCTGAGTTCATTTTTATGAACGACAATGCGTGACCACATAGGGCTCTCATGGTTGATGAGTATCTGGAAGGCGAGGATATTCAACGAATGGATTAGCCAGCAAAATCCCCTGACCGGAATCCTATTGAACTTTCTTGGGATGCTCTTGGGGGAACTATTGCGATGCGCCAACCTCCCCCAGAACCAGTCTGGAGTTAAAAATTGCTCTGGTGGAAGAATGGGAGGGTCTTCTGAAATTCCTCCTTAACTCCCTTATTAACAGCATGCATACTCGTTGTGCACGCTGTCTGTCTGTCAGGGGTGACCATACTCCATACTAGAAACAACACACACTGTGCAAGCCTCACTTTTATTGTCATCTTTTATCCTTAAGTTCAGATTACATTGGATTTATTGGCAATAGGTCTTGCCAGTCAATAGCACTTTCATTTTTGTTTTGCATGCTTTATTATCATGGAATAAGCTATATACATACCAAATTTCATTTATTTATATTCAGTATTTTTGAGATATTTGGGGAAATGTCTTCTATCTCTTAATTTTGTCCACCAGTGTATTATTTTCATATTTCGTAATTGATATTATTCTCTGGTTGATTACAGGAAAAAACAAAAAAATTTAATTTTAATTTTTCTATATTTCTCATTGTTGGTGATCGATTCAAACTTGAGTGTATAACTTAATGGAAAAAAATTTAACTAAATTTGCACTCTTACACTCTTATTGTTGTTGTTACTTAAGCCACTTGCCAATCCGCAAGCCAGCTTGAAATCAGTGAGTTTTTAACGTAGAAGTTGTGTCTCTGATTGTTGTATGTAAAAGCCGTGTCCAGTCCGAAGGGGTCGGGGTTCGATCCTCGACTCCGCTAAGACCCACTGAGTACATGCGATGTACGCTCTCATAAAATCAGTGGAATCGGAAAATCCTGTAATCGGTCGTTGAGCAGTAACATGGCTACATGGATCTGGAGGAAATTGGTAAAGTGGCCTCTCGAATTGAGATTGCATGCATTCGAATCATCCTCGGGGATTTTTCTAAGACCGTCGACAATAGAACAGTGACGTAAATAAAACCACCTCTAGTACCTCTATTGTATGTAAATATTAAAATAATAAATTAGATTTAAACTTTTATGAAAAAGATTATATATAAATATTCGGATTTTTTCCATAAAATGAACACTGAGAATTAGTTGCAAGCTTAACAAATAAATTAGATTTAATCTTTTATGAAGATCTTTAGATTTAACTCTGACGATGGATAATTGTTGATATATTTGTATAAATATATTAGTAGTTTAAAGTCATTGAGCTGCAAATAATTATATAAATTAAACTTACGTATAATTAGCTTATTTTATTACATTTATAAAGTTTCTGAAAAGTACTAACACTTTCGAAATTGTTTCAAATGCAGGAAGGAAACTCAGCAAGATACAACAGTCAGCACAGACTTCAGTACAACTGTGGAAACTACTGACGTCACAGATTTATTTGGTAAATAATCACTCACTGCTTCCGCCAAAGACCATAAATATTGTAAGAGAAATACAACGAAACTCGCATTTTCTTTTCATACACTATGCGGTTTACTAATCTTGCGAAAATGACAAAACTATAAGTTATAGGGAAGTACAAAACTTCATACGTAAATTAAGATATAGCTCAAAGAGATAATGGATTTTTTTCTAGCTTAGAACCATGAGGATTAAAAAGAATACGCCATTGATATATTCCCCTCTTATGAATAAAACAGGGCTCGAAAAACAGCCCGTCCGCCCGTCCTCGGCGGTCGAAAATTCCCCGCGGACAACGAATTTCTCGAATCCGGCGTCCGCGCGTACGGCCATTTCCCCGTTAATGTTCGTGATACATTTTCAATTTTTGTTATCTTACAGGAGTCTAACCCCTCACTTCTAAAATGACCCTGAAATGGAATTGATGTTTTCTGTGTCTGGGAGTACTGCAGCGGTTGAAAGCGGCTTTTCAGCAATGAACTTACAAAAAAACAGATTACGTACTGGTCTTAAACAAGAAGCGTTAAACGCAATTATGAACATTTTACCTAAATGGAAAACCCCTTTCAGATTTCTGTGCAGAAACCTCGGCAAATTATTGGCTTGATTGTGGAACTGGCAAACGTCATATTTGATTCATTTAAAAAACGCAGTAACCTCGGATAAATTGACATTCTAGAAAACTTGACCTTTGTCATTTAAATTATTTCATAAAAGAAATAAATTATTTCATAAAAGAAATACTAGATTACTATTAGTAACCTAGCATTTCTTTTATTACTGTATAATGTAATCCTAGTAACTACTAATTCATTGTGCAATTTATATAAATGTTTGTAATGAATAAGAGAAAATTATATTTTTATTTATTTAAAAGCTTCGGCTTAGTTTCAAGGGAGAACGGATACGTTGTAGGACAAGCCGTCCTCGGGGATGGGTAAAATTTTTGAATTTTTTCGAGCCCTGTAGGAAGTATAAATAAATCTCTTGAATAAAGACCCATTACACGCATGTTTAAATATAAAAGTATTGCCTATGAACTCGTGCAAATCATGTCATTATTAAAACACTACAGTGCGTCTAATAATTTGATTTAATTATTATTATATGCTAATATAATGCTTGATATAATAAATATTCTATATTTATATAATATATCGTCTAATTTATCCTATCGTCAATGTGAAGAACCGGGTTCCAATCCCTGCGATGGCTGGTCGAAACGAATCCGCATCCGGCATGCATCGACCACAGTGCTGACGTGAAATATTCTCAGTGGTAGACGGATAGTGGATTAGAGTCCTTTTGTTGTCTGGCTAGTCGTGGAAGGTTTCCGTGGTCTTCCTCTACATGTGATGCAAAATGCAGTGTCGCGACAGTTATGAAATAAAAAAAGAACACCCTTAATTTGATTTTTTGAAATTCTCATTTCAAGAAAATTTAAAGAAAAATTCAAAACCACAGTTTAAGTGCATTACACTTAAGACAAAGTTATAATTTTCTACCATGTATATATCATCTTGCAATAAAGAATTTTCTGGGCTTTTAAACAGACAAATAAATATTGTTATTCTGTAAGTTATAAAATACTTTTAAAAATCGCCAATTCTGCGAGATTTTAACACTCAGATGCAAAATTTTTCAAATCAATGAATAATTCTCAATTATCATAAATTTTCGTTAGTGCAGGAAGGCATTATTGGAGTATAATTNCAATTCGAGAATTTTGGAGATGCGGTGAAAAATTATATAAAAGGGGGAACGGAGTACAGTGGAATTAGTTAGTCAGACTAAGAGTTATCTCTGCCGCTTGTCTTTCGGAGCTTGTCGCTAAATCTGTTTTGTTTTGTCTTAACAAAAAGTTCATTCAATCGCCGAACCCGTCGTCGCCACTATTTCGACTAGTGAAAAAATCAGCAACAATACCATTGGAGATACTGTGCTCGTTGAAGTTATTCATTCCAGCTCGAAACTTTGAGATCCTAGCATAGCGGATATTTCTGTGCCAATATATATATATATATGTGTGTGTGTGACCCCGTTGAAAACAATCTCATAATTGTAAACTCTTTTTTTGTCTTGGCTTACTAAAAAGAATTCAAGATGCTATTCAGTTTCATTCTTATTTTTTTTTCAGATATTTCATCATATTGCATCATTAAAAAAGATTGGATGCCTGTTCATTCTCTCGTGGATAATAATCCTCGTTTCCTAGTAAAGACAAAAGAGGAGGCTCAAAAAATTTGTCAGACAAAAAATATGCATTTATACGAGGCCAAACCTCTTTCAGAACTCACGAAATATTTGAAAGACACTAATACATTACAAGGAAAGCAAATGAAAGAAATTTGTAAAACGCAAAAAAGTAAGCAACATGTATATTTCATATTATGTTTGTGATTTGATAAAATTTTTGATTTTTTTCCATTTTTTTCCTTAATTCTTAGTTATAATCACATTAGAAAAAAAAGATGTTTTCTTCCCCAACCAATAGCAGCTGGAGGTGGCTCTTTAATGGTATGGGAAGCTTTCAGATATGATTTTAAATTAAAACTGACTCTTCCCTTAAGCTGTATGAAAGCTACTAATTACCATGAAAGGCTAGTCATTAATTATTATTTAAATATTAATTTCAAACTTTAAAAAACTTGTTTATTTGTTTTATTATATGTAAAAAATTATTAATATTGTTATTATTATTTTAAATGGGCATCTTTAAGTAAAAATAAGGCATTTTTTCCCATAAGCTAAACAGTGTAAAATAATTCTATTGCCCAAAACAAAAAATCCTTTGGCAATTTTATCTAGAAGGCTATCAACTATTTTTTGAACAATTATCTTAAAATCAAGTGCATATATATTACCGAGTTAGGGATCAATGTAGTTAAAAGAGCAAAGTTTTAAAACTTATCGCATTTGTCTTTGCAAAAAAAATAAATCTGAAAAAAAAAGGATATTCTATTTTTTTCTCTTAGTCTGTAGTTCAAAACATGTGTGCTATAATCAAAAACACTCTTGAAAAATAGAAGACAATTATTTTTAAACAACATGAGATATCCTATTTAACGTGGTGTAAAATGCGAACAAAATATGATTTTGAGATAAACGCATTTAAGGACTTAAAATCACTAGTCTATCCTGTGTTACTACCTTGCACAAAAACTACTATAACTATGTAAATTAGTGGCTGGGTGGCGCAGTTGGTTTGTCGTCGGCGTTCTGAGCCCAAGTCTGCGGGTTCGATCCCTGGCCCAGACACCGGATTTTCGGAATGCTGAAAATCCTCAGAGGCCATGATTATGCGGCATGTAAAAGATCCTTGGAGTGCCTTATTGGCTCTTGGCATTTCCGGCAAAATTAAATTCCTAGTGCACTTTAGCATCCAAATAGAGTCTCGGTGCTGCCATCTAGTGTTGCAGAAACTGGACGACCAATTTAACATGACCAACGGTATCTCACCCACTGTGGTGGTCCTGAAAGAGTCGATACCACCTCTGGAGAACGCACTAGGTCTGCTCTTCGGCAAGACCGATTGTGCAGCTCATTGGAAAAGAAAAAAAAAACTTTGTAAATAAACGGAGTAAAAACAAAAGTAAAGAATTTTTAGAAAGCTAAAATTACAGGAGTTCTGAATTTGTAATAAACTCAATTTCAAAAATTTTGCCCGTAATCATGTTTTTGCCACTAGTCAGATACCTGAAGGGGTCTAATGTGCAAATTGCTGAAGTAATTTAAGAAATGAATAATTTTAGTTTCTTTAAACAGGTCATCTTAGTTAATCTGCACATGACTTAGATAATGAGTAATTCTCTTGTGCTAAGCAAATGTCCGTATCACAACAAAAAAACAGACACATAACCGAAACGTTTTATTCGTCACAAAATGATAATAATTAAATAACTATTAAAATTTTTGCTTCAGATGGTTTTTGAAATCAAACTGATATGACACTATTATTCCAGAAAGCTTACAATAAGGTAACAGAAACGTGCGTATGGAGGGACAATTGGAGGGAAAAGAAATCACCAAACCGCATGTGCCAAGACTTCGACTCTTTCAAGAAAAAAAACGCTTTTTTATTCAAGGAAATTGAATTAAAAAATAAAATCTCCATATAACATAAAAACCTAATGGTCTAACACAATTTTCCATTGTTGTTGGTGTATTTTTATTGGCCGGAAAATCACATGGTGGGATCTAGTTTTTCAACATTGATTTCCATATCATTTTGGTTGTCATCAGCATAAACTTAGTGAAAGTCATAAAGGTTTTGCTTTCCTATAAAATTTTTTTGTATCCCTAATTTAAAGGTATTAAGAATTATCATTATGTGGCGTAACTACCACTACAATCATTAAACATCATTTCACTAGTATATAAAACATTCTAACTCAAATAATCTAGGTTACCTATTGATAGGTCAAAGTTGACATTGTCGAAAGCTCCTCGTCCACATTGGTGACCCGGACGTGATATAAACTTAAATCTAAAGTATAACTTATGCGCATGTATCAATTGTTATTAATTTATATTATGTCCCTTTCAAATGACCAGATAGAAATTTTATAGGATAAGTTAATTACAAAAGCAAATTACCATTCTACTTCGCCGCAGCAGCATCTGTTATTTGCTGTTACCTAATTGTAAGTGTTCTAGAATCAAACTGTAATATCAGTCTGATTTTAAAAAACTTTCAGTAAGCGAACATTTGAAAATTTATCATTTTATCTTTTTACTATATTTCAAATTACGTCTAAAACGTTTCTGTTATGTTCCTCATTTTGGTTCTGACGCAAACATCTTTCTTGACGTTTTTGTAATCAGCAGATAAGTTACTCCCAACGTTCAATTACGTTTTTACAACCACGGAAACAGTATTATCTCATGTTTTTTTGTAGCATAACTGCTACATTTGGTGCTAAATGGGAAGTATGCATTATTTGTAAATTTTAATGATTGATCTATTTTTCTTCTTTGCTACCTCTATACGTTTGCAATAACGTAAACTGACTCTATTCTTTTATTTGTAGCTTTAATGTTTTTTTGTAGCATAACTGCTATATTTGGTGCTAAATGGGAAGTATGCATTATTTGTAAATTTTAATGATTGATCTATTTTTCTTTTTTGGTACCTCTATACGTTGCAATAACGTAAACTGACTCTATTCTTTAATTTGTAGCTTGTAATGCTAGTAATGTTTTTTGTAGCATAACTGCTACATTTGGTGCTAAATGGGAAGTATGCATTATTTTTAAATTTTAATGATTGATCTATTTTTCTTTTTTGATACCTCTGTACGTTTGTAATAACGTAAACTGACTCTATTCTTTTATTTATTTTTTAGCCGGAAAAACCAAAGTATATTTTGAGAGTTTTATAACAAACGAGAATCGTTTGTTTTATGCTACTAAGTATCCGGTAGAAGTATACGAAGGAATTGCGGGATTTACAGAACGAGCTTATTTGAGGAAATATAATTTGATTTTTGCCTGGGATGAAAGGAATGCAATCATGCTCGTGAAAAATGAATCACTGATTCTGATTCAACATGTAACAAAGCCTGTACCTTACTTTTGTGCTAAGCATTCAACACCAGCCATTACACCAGACTGGACTTTTCTTACCAGCACTACACCAAGGTGAGTAATGAATGAAAAGCGTTACTTTGAAAGTTGAATAAGTCCACTTTTAGAAAGCACTTATATAAAAAAATATCTTTTGCCAGAGGATGATATGCCCCTTTCTCCCTAAAACCTTAAATTTTAAATATTTCTAAATAAAGCTTCTAATTTCCATTTTTTTAATCTGGAAGATATCCAGGACCGGGATTGCCTGGTTGGAGGGACGCTGGTCCCACGTTCGTGAGCACGGGAAATCGAATCAACCCGGCCAAAGACTGCCCGAGTAGTAAATGGTGACTGGTGCACGTTAAATCTGTCGGGTCACAAATCCTCCATTTTCCCATAATTAATTATACCTCTGCGGATACTGGATTGGAGATATATTGTTCTCTGGCTCAGGTCAAAATTACGATCTGTGGAGGAATGAAAGGATATATGAATGGGTCGGCACTATAAACGGGTGTGACGTATGGGTGTGGCAGAAATCAAATTCTTGGTTATAGATGGCGCCACTGGAAAACAATAACAATCGCATCCCCTTGACTTAAAGTTCTGCAACAGCAGCAACAGAAGATATCTAGAATAGATTTTTTGAATTTTTTTTTATATTCTACGCAATAAATAATTTTTAGAGTATCACTTATATTGGATCCTTTAACGAAAAAAGTTCCCGCTCACTCAGAGTGTGCAGCCCTCTAATCCTATTTCAGGATTTATCCCGTTTTAACGATTTTGCATTTTTCTTTTTTTAATTTCGATGTAAATAACTGCTGGGAATACATCTTGTATAAGGTATAAAATTTAAGAGAAAAAAATAGGTTGCCATTACTGAGAAAGCTATTACCATTGCCTCCCTCGAAAACGATTTATATTACAGCTAGTTGAATCTTTTTACAACTAGTTGATTTTACAACTAGTTGAATATTTACAACTAGTTGAATAACTAGTTTACAGCTGGTTATTTTGCAACTAGTTCTTTGTGTGGAAGGAATTAAAAAAATAATTAATCAGTAGGAGAGAGTGGGGTCAATTGTAACAGGGTACGATTGTAACAGAGCAAAAATTTCGAGTGTCGGGTTCTAGATTTGGTTCCTAGGTGGCGCACAAGGTGTATTTAATAAATCTACATGTACACCCCTGATGGCAACCATTTTTATGTACTTTTGAAAGAGTTACATCACAAAAGATATTTTCACGCCACGCAAGTACTTTTTTTGGTATTAGAATATTATATTGTAACAAAGTAATTTTGTTTAAACAAATAAAAATTAGTAACCGAATATGTAAGTGGACACTTTAATTAACATTTCAAAAAAAAAAAGATTAGTTTTGCTAATTAACTAGCATTGTTTTTAACAAATGAAGCTGAAATGGCGTCTTGGGGACAATTGTAACAATAAGTAAAGGGACGATTGTAACAGCTGAAAATAAATAATCTTATGTTTACAAACCATTACTTAACTCTTTAAGAACCACCAATAGTTTCCTATATCATTTATATTATGTTGCATGTGCATTATTTTATTTGTCACCTTTCACAGCATAAATTAAAATTTTTAACCCCTTAAAGTTAAAAGTTTAACCCTTTAGGTCTCTGCTCATTATTATTTTTACTCCTAAAATATCACTACTATTTTGATCAATAAAAAAATATATCACAACTATGATAATATGTATAATTAACTATGTTTTAGTTGAATTTATGAACTGTTACAATTGACCCCGTAAGTGGGGACAATTGTAACAAGTGCACGACTGTCAAAAATTGTTAATAACTAATATAATAATATTTAAAATCAGGTATTTAATTTTTTTTCTAGTAGAGGATAGTCTACTTTACTCGTCTGTCAATTAATACTAATAATATATTGGATTTTTTGTTAGTTAAAAATAGTTAAGTAAAAAATGTTACAATTGACACCACTCTCCCCTACTGAACAACACTGCAAAATCCTGTACAAAACTGAAAGGCATATTCCAACGCAATTAAAGTGCTTAGTGGAAGAACCAGGTAAGTGACATTTTAGGGATATTTATGAATAAGTGAAAATAACAAAGCTGTTGCTTCCAATATGGGTATATTAAAGGTAACAGAATTGTTTTTGTTTTCTCTTTAATCTTAACATAACCAATAAACGTTAATTTTTAGTATGCTTGCATAATCTTACTTTCAAATTAGGCAGTGGTAAATAAAATAAGATAAAGAATTATTAGTCCTGCCTTCTAATAAATAAGTAATAAAATAGTAGAGACCACCTTTTTTATTCTCGCCTTAATCATAGCCTATCTGAAACTGCTACTTACCTGGTTTTTCCACTAAGCTCTAGTATTATATGTTGCTCTTCCCAGTGGTTTTCATGGCTTCAGTGGCTTCTATTGTAATTCATCCCATCAGAATAGAGATTAACTGTATTTAGCGTCACTTAGAGTGGTGATATTGCTCGCGGCCACCTCATGATAGTCAAACTTTACCACTCTCAAGAAATTTTCTCTGGGGACGAAGACACATATTCCTATTGCATCGGATTTAAAATTGCTCAGTACTGGTGAATTACCAAATAAATCAATATAATACTTTATGCCTACATTAGTATGTTTAGTACTTATTGTATAAACCCTCAGCATTTGAATTTCGTTCGAAATTCACTTATCAGTGGCAGCAAATTAATGCCGAAAATTTAAAAATAAATAGAATTCTTATAAAACCTTAATAAGGATTTTGTAGCATTTCTCTATCGACCTTTCATTTACTGTTTGAAATATTTATAAGTAGTGGTGGAAAAAGTTCTTTTAATTAATATTTTAATTCATTAAAATATTAATACACTATCTTTGCTATCACGGAAAAAAATATGTTCTGAAACAACGGTAAACCCGTTTTAGAATTCTTATCATAACTGAACCAATTACTATAATATCAGAAGATCGTATTACCGAAATTAATTAAGCATCATCTACGTATTCATGGTTTCCCTAAAGGAATTTATTATTAACTTTTTACCCATAAACTTCACTTTTTAGCACATAGCTCATTTTTTATTTGAATTAATGCATAGTACCTGTAATAATTAAGCATTGGTATCGATAATATGGAGAATAATAATATCCTCAAAATGAATAAGTATCTTTCTCTCATTAGCTTTGCTTTTTAGTAGATAGGTCATTTCTTTATTTCAATTCAACAACATTAATTAATCGTTGATGTCAATAACAAAGCAATTTTTTTACGGTTCCTCTAAATGACAAAGTAACTTTACTCTATCAATTTTGCTTCTTAGTACGTAGCTTATTTCCATAAGCATATATTATTACCTAAACTGATTAAGAATCATTGGCGTCAATACCAGTACGGGGATTTTTTCCGTTTCTCTTAAGCGAATCAGTACTTTTTTCCATTAATTTTGCCTCTAAATACATAACTATATTTTTTTTAACTTTAATTGGGTACTTGCACTTCAAGAAGAAGATAATCACTGATACCCACACATCTGATCTGTGACATCAGAGCCAAATCGTTATAAATATCATTAATAAACAAAATGGCGTGTTAAAGTCGGACTAAGTTTTTCAGCACAAGTTAGAATGTTAACTAATGTGAAGTTGAATAAATACAGCACCGTATCTCACATTAAATTTGTTGAAATGGAATTCTTTCTTCCGACGTCTTTATCTTAACTTATTTTTTTTACGTATTTTACTGTTACCGATATCTATTTTTGTTTCGTGTAACTTCGATGCTTAATTAGTTTGTTTATGTTCCACATGACTTCGTGCCTGTCTTTGTGTTAAATAAGAAATCTTTGTGAAAGAATCTAGAATGTGTCATTTAAGGGAATTATTTCTTGACGGGCTTAACCCCTAAATGTTGTTTTTACCTTTATGCACAGGGATCACACCAAACCTTGGGGACTGGTTTACAGTCCTCCAAGTACCTAACCTTGGTACCTTAGGTCGATAAGACCCCTAACCCATTTAGTGGTTTCGTTCTGGTTACTCCTCTGACGAAACCACGACCAGAGGAACGAGCCCGGACGTAAACCAGCCCCGCTTTTAACGACCACGGGCCCGCCCGCCTCACTTGTGTCGGGGGGAAGACAACTCGAACTCGCGTGTCACACGGCTTGCCTGAGCTGGTCCCTATCTTCGTTTTCTAGGGAACTCCCTAGAGGGTGATTTTTCGAGTCCAAAATTGGCCCCACCGTTCTGATGAGCAGTGCAAAGTTTTTTAACGACTGACTTCTATGCTCAACGGACTGACGTCGGGGACGACTTCAACGCGCCAACGCTGTGCTAGGCGACTCCGTCATTTGACCAACAAGCAGTTGGCCGGAAAATTCCTCGCCTCTTCGAGAGTGTTCTTATGAACGCTTCTACGAAGAGCCTTTCCCTTTCGGCAATCATTGGCTCCGAATGTCTATAGAACCAACGACTGTCTTAGCCCTTGAGCGAAGTCACTGCATGGATATCTCGCTCGACGACATGAGACCGTTCCATATCTGCGTTCCGAACCACACTATGACTCGAAGCACGTGGAAACGTCGCTGTGATTCTTCAAAGAGAACTCCGTTTTCTGCTACCTTCAGCTCCCAGCCCATGTTCAAGGGGTACGAGCTTAGGAGCTTCAGGCACCCTCCGGACGGGACGGGGACCCAAACGGATACGTCCGGAGGACTGGTTTACAATATGTTTATGGAAGCTAGCCTTCTTCTCCGATGAACATTCTCTGACTCGAATGTCTCACCATTATGCAAATTTTCTATCACTAAGCCGATACACAGTTATTGAAGCAAAGATTTAACCAGTTTATAAAGTCCTCTGCTTAAATTTTCAAATGCCTTTTTCTCTATTGGCTAGCTTTATTATTTTAATTATTAGTAATACACTTTGTTGAGGTTTGAGTTCGAGATTAGATATAGTTTTGAGTTTCCTGTGCTGGCAACATCTTATTGTTTTNGCTAACTCGACCTTGCGTGTCACTACACGGCTTGCCTGAGCTGGTCCCTACCTTCGTTTTCTAGGGAACTCCCTAAAGGGTGGTTTTTCGAGTCCAAAATTGGCCCCACCGTTCTGATGAGCAGTGCAAAGTTTTTTAACGTCTGACTTCTATGCTCAACGGACTGACGTCGGGGACGACTTTAACGCGCCAACGCTGTGCTAGGCGACTCCATCCTTTGACCAACAAGCAGTTGGCCGGGAAATTTCTCGCCCCTTCGAGAGTGTTCTTATGAACGCTTCTACGAAGAGTCTTTCCTTTTCGGCAATCATTGGCTCAGAATATCTGTAGAACCAACGACTGTCTTAGCCCTTGAGCGAAGTCACTGCATGGATGTCTCGCTCGACGACAAGAGACCGTTCCATATCTGCGTTCCGAACCACACTATGACTCGAAGCACTTGGAAACGTCACTGTGACTCTTCAAAGAGCACTCCGTTTTCTGCTACCTTCAGCTCCCAGCCCATGTTCGAGGGGTACGAGTTTAGGAGCTTCAGGCACCCTCCGGACGGGACGGGGACCCAAACGGATACGTCCGGAGGACTGGTTTACAATATGTTTATGGAAGCTAGCCTTCTTCTCCGATGAATATTCTCTGACTCGAATGTCTTACCATTATGCAAATTTTCTATCACTAAGCCGATACACAGTTATTAAAGCAAAGATTTAACCAGTTTATAAAGTCCTCTGCTTAAATTTTCAAATGCCTTTTCCTCTATTGACTAGCTTTATTATTTTAATTATTAGTGGTACACTTTTAAGGTGTACCACTACCTTGTTGTACACCTTGATACACCTTGTTGTATCATCCCCAAATGAATTTCCCAAATCATGCATTATCCTTGTAAGTTCTAAGGTGGCCCTGATATAATTGCATTTTTACGGCAGATAGGAGACAGGAGACAAAAAATATATAAAAGAAATATAGTTTTAACCCGTTTAATTATACATTTATATTTTCTGTTATTGTGCAATATTAACCTGTTTATTTATGAAATAAAGCTAAAAAATTTATTTTTAACTTTTCCACATTTCTCATGGTTGATGATCGATTTAAATTTGAAAATAAAACTTTAAATTCAAAAATTTAGATTTTTCACTCAATTTGTACTCATATTTTTATATTTAAATATAATAATCAAACTTAGCTATAAACTTTTATTCAAGACATTAGCTTTAAACACTTAGATTTTTCCACCAAATTAGACGCTGATAATTAATTGTAACAATAAACAAATAAATTTTATAGTTTTCTGATATTTTTTTTCTTTACTTTACAAACAAATTAGATTTGAGCTTTTATGCAAAGCTTTAGATTTCACTTCGATAGACAAAAATGTTTAACACATTTGAACTACGTTTATAGATTACAGACTTTATTGCTTTCATTGAGCTTAAAATAATATAATTTAAACCTCTATATTAATAACTTTATTTTAATATTTTTATTTACTCTAACACTTTTGTATTTGTTTCAAATGCAGAAAGGAGACTCAGCAAGATACAAAACTCAGCACAGGCTTCGATGAAACTCTGCCAGACACTACTGACGTTACAGATTTGGAAGGTAAATTAACACCTCACTGCTTTCGTCAAATACCATAAAAATTGAATGTGAAATACAATAAAACTTAAATATGCATTTAATCTTTGAAAAAATGCATTTAAGCTTAAATTTAAATCAGTGAACTATTGAAATATAGAAAAGAAAATGCAATTCTCGGTTTATTTTCAACATTCATCTTTAGTGCTTGTTAAATGTCGACATTCCCTGATGTAACTGAGAAATAAGAATATCTGGTAAATATTCAAACTAAGCTACTATCACCATTAATTGTCAGCATTTTCCAGATTTTGATCTTTTATGGTGGTAAATATGTTATCGTTGATGAAAGTAATTAAAGAGAGAAATAAGATTTTTTTGCTAAAAAAACAGGAATAAGATAAGTAACTCTCATGCGCAAATGAAGTGCCAGATTAAAGCTAAGTTCTTCGTGGAAACCTCTGCCTCACAGTGGCTAATGACGTCATAAGACATTGGCGCTATGATCTCGTTTGTGTAGAGGTACCTCATTTGTTCATCGAAGTTTGTAGCATAAAGATGTTCTGATGCATCGCAGCCAGGGATTAAAATAGGGGTTATCTGCCTTTATATCTATGATCGTAGCCTAGTCCAGTCTTTGTTCTTTGAATTTCTTTGTTCATCGTTTGCATGGCCTGTCGTTATGATCTAGTCTAGACAATGCCCCAAAATGGCTGTAAGTCGGAAGACTCAAGGAAAGTTGGAAGTCTACCTGTTAAACGGACCTCAGGGTTTCGAGAAAAGTGGCGTCCACTGTATAGAAACAGTTCACAGAGGCAGGAACTGTGGTCCACCGACCTGGTCAGGGCAGCACAGCAGCCTTAATTTGATATCCATTGTAAATAGTCCGAGAATCCAAATCATACTAGCATTAATGTGCTTCATCTTAAAATTCCAGGGATTCAAAAATGGGGAAATTTTATAAAATCCCTATCACATGTGTTACCAGAGATAATATAACTATCATGATAAGCTAGAATACTTAGTGAGAAGTTACTAATTTGATTTCATATTTTCCTAAAGGTAAAATCTTATTATCATTAAAATGGGCCGGATGTGAATTATAACGGCTAAGAGCATCTACATGTTGCATTCGGTAACCTGACTGATGCAGCATTTCGTAATCAAAATCTTCTAAGAAGAGCGCCCACCGTGTTATTTTGGGTGGTAGATCTTTTTTGTCATTGTCTTTTGAAACACTGTCGTTATTTGTATCGCAATCTGTATATATTTGGAATTTTGTGCCCATGAGATAGTGTCGAACTTTTTTTAATGCTGTTAACTATCGCTAAAACTTCTAATTCGTAGCTGGAATATTTCTCTTCTTGGGGAGAAGTTTTACGACTCATGTATTGTACGGGATGGAAATTGTTTTCAGAGTCCTTTTGAAGGAGTATAGCACCAAATCCTTTAGCACTGGCATCACAGTGGAGTTGTAATGGGGCACTTTGCTAATAAAAATGTAAAACAGGTTTGGATGATTTTTTTTGTTTGGCCTAGCCTTCTTGTTCGTAACACGATAGGTTTATCCTCAGAAAGAATTATTTTCATTTGTAAGTTTATATCTTTAATTTCGTTTGGCTTATAAGATTTAATAAGTTGTTCAATTTCAGTGCGCGTATCGGACTCTAAATGAGATAAATCAGCATCGGTGAAAACTATATTTATATTAGATAAACAATAATCTGTATTTTCAATAAAAGCATTTTTAATCTCTTTATTTTCCGGATTTCAAGAATTAAAATCGTTTGTTTCCGTTTCGGCAGACGAAAACATATCGGTTTTGTTTTTGTTTACATCGGAAAAAGCACGTTGATCTGTGTTTACATTGAATGTCACGCAGCGATCACATGTTTGAGCAGTATCCGTTTTCCTATTAGACGCAGACGTCACTGAATCAGACTCATTTATTTATTTTTTTTTCTAATAAATTTTGATCGGAAGTATTTTTGCATTTACATAATAAATTTTCGGTTTCATTTTGAGAAGAGAGTGATTCATTATTCCCAAAAAAAGAGCTCTTGCCTTCAACTAACTGACACCATGGTATTATATTTTGATCAAATCTTTTTTTAGAAATTGGCTGAGAAAAATGGTCATTTTCCCAATTGTAAATGAAAGAATTAATTTGGTTTTCATTTTTAGACATTGAGTTTAAATCGAAAGTATTTTTTTGTTCATTTTTATGCAAAGGAAATTTAGTTTTAGAATAAGGAGAAATCATATTTTCTTAGGAAATTTGATCAAATTCTTATTTTTATTCGTTCAAATCATCCAAAATATTTGGGGGAATTATTAAATCACAATAAAGATTTTTACAAACAGCTGCCGTTACTGTTATGTGATTTCCACGAAAACTTGGAAGCGCTAATTTTATTCTTGTTCTCATTCTCGTTCAGTTTGTACTTCATTTCCGAAAGTACAAGTTAAAAGAACAGTTCCGACGCTTTTTGTTTTGGAAACAATTAAGTGATCTCGGACGCATACAATATTAGCTTCAGAATCTACTAATGATTTATTTAGTTTATCATTTACAAAAATATTTTCATATAGTAATTCATTCTTAGATTCATTAAATATTTTCGCTTCGACTTTGCAAACAGGGTCTCGATTTGTGTTAAATCTACGATTTAAATAAGTTTCGTTTCTGTGAAAGCTTCATGGATTATTTCGTGATTGGTAATCTGTAGAATTTTTCTCATATGAATTACGTATAAGGCTTTGAAATGAGTTATTTTTTTGCTTGTTGTTGAACGGTTGTTGACGGTAGTGTTTTATTTCGGTAAAAGATTTCCGTTTCGAAGCAAAATATACATTGCATTCTTTCGCGAGTTTAGTTGGTTTAACCCTATCGCGCCTAACGGGACACATGCGTCCCAAGCAAATTTCAAAAAAACCTTTTGGGACAGAAACGCTTCTTTGTCTAATGGGAGACTTTCCCACTACTAGTCCTGCCAATATTTTTGAAAGTATTTTCATTCACAGAACATAGATGTCACTACCGTACATAATGCTGCCCTACTCATAGTTTATGCTACAAAAATTGCTCTGTTATAAAAAAAAACTCGTCGCGAAAGGGTTAAACCAAGTTTCGTTAGGCGTATCGCAATATGTTGTTCCGCTTCACAATCGAGGGTAGAAAACAATTTATCGGCTGTCATTAATTCGCACAAGCTTTTAAAATCATTAACGTTACGTAGGTTGCAATAGTATTCAAAAGCACTTGTCAATCTTGACGAAAATTGTACGCGTGATTCATTAGGTAATCGTTGAGCTCTTCGTAATTGATCAAGCATTCCTGGGGTGTTGGTTGAAATTCTCGCAATATAATATTTTTAACTTTTTCGTAATCTTGGAGTTCGTTCTCCGAAATGTAAAGTTAAGTACTATTCGCTTTTTCACCTAGATCATTAATTAATATTTCCGATTTGAATTCTGACGGAAAATTTTTGGTTGTAAACGCGCATTCCAAAGAATGAAAGAATAAGTTAAAATTTCCGGGTTCAGTAAGAATCGGCATACTAAGTGTTTTAACTGATTTAATTAGACTTTCGAAATCTAAAGATGATGTTCTAATTATCGCGTTTCGGAATTATTTTGATTTGAGCCGGAGTTGATTGATGATTTCTTATTCGCTTATTCGATTTCTTTTTCGATTTGGGCTAACTTGATTTTTTTCTTTTGCGGATTGTTCCTTTCTTCGACGATTAAATAAATTTATGTCTTTAACAAATTCTGGTTCATTTTTGAACGTATCAGTTTTCTCTATAAGTTCTTTTAAACAAATAATAGTAGCATTATCTGGAACAACTGTTCCTAATTCCTTGACGGCATGATGTAAATCTTCTTTTTCAGCATTTCGATACATGCTTAATAATAAAAAGGATTGATCCGAACTGGTTTGAAGATATCGGTGTTTGTTGATGACGTTGATATTTGGCCTTTTCGCTTACACAAGCTATCCGTTTGTTGAGATAAGTATTCACAAATGGTTATATAGAATGTCACAGTTTCACTACGACGATACGAGCTCACTTTTATCGTTGTTGACGTTGAATGCGATGACTTATGTAGCGGAGAAGTATCGATCTCCTAGTTCGTTGAATGTCGATGAAGATATTTCTTAACTGTGGACGGGAAATTGGTTACACAGGCAGTGGAATTGGCTTTTGTTGGGAAAAATACAAAAAGTCAATAGCACTTGATTGAAAAAAAATTAAAAAGCTGCAGTTTTAGTTGAGGAAAAAAAATGTTTCTATGCAATGTCCCACAGTTTATGTAATAAAAATGTTTTTTGGAATTATGTAATAAAATTTAATAAAAATGTCCCATGGTTTCATCATATCAGCTGATATGGATGTGAGATTTGGGCCTTCATGTCTTCCAACCTTCTTGACATCATATCTGTCATAGGGTCAAAAGCTCACAATTTCGTGAAAACCGAAAAATTTTGGTCGAAGTTTGCACCTACACCAAATTGGGTTTTTTCTCTTTTTAACGCCCAATAGACAAGACAAATTTCATTCCATTCAAAGATTTATTCATATTTTTTTCAGATTTCACATTCAATTGCATCATCAAAAAAGACTGGCTTCCTATTGAGCACTTGCTAGCTGGAAATTATTATTTTACGAAAAAGAAATACAAGGAAGCTCAACGATTGTGTAACTCGAAAAATAAGCATTTGTACAAAACCAAATCTCTAATTGAATTAGAGGCGGATCTGCAAGCAACTAAAATATTACAAGGAATGAGAATTAAAAGAGCTTGTAAACCAAGTAAGTAACATCAATATTTCTAATTATGTTAGTAATTTGATGAAAATTTTTCCGTTATTTCAGTTTTTGCTTGAAATCTTAGTTTTAGTTTTAAATAGAGAATGGAAAGAACAGTCACTGAGACATATTAAAGAGTCTAAACATTTTTTCTTAGCAAAATGTTTGATTTTTTGAAAAAACAAAAATATACCTGATTTATTTTCAGCAATTTGACACCAAATGTAAAATAATACTCGAAATTATTCCATAATTGCAGCAAAAATATTGAAACCCTTTCACCCAAAGCAGAAGATAACACCTACACTATCTACCAATAAGTATTTCGACACGTGTGATTGAAAAGAAAAATGAACTTTAATCATAATCAATAGTTGGTAGAGCCTCCACGCGAGGCCTCCACGCGAGCCTCCACGCGAGGTATTTTCTTCCACTCGGCTTGAGGAAGACATGTAAGTTTCTTCACCGATTTTGGACGGGTGATCCAACCCTTAATTCGGTGATCCAACTCGTCCCAGAGGTTCTCGATAAAGTTCAGGTCTGGATTATGGGCAGGCCAGTCCATTCGATTAACCCCATTGGCACCATACCAAGCCTTGGTGACCCTCCCAACATGACAGCTGGCGTTGTTGTCCTGGAAATAACAAGGATCCACCCCGTAAAACTGCCACAACGAAGTAAGCACATTGTCATCCAAAATAGTGCAGTAGGCATCTTGCATGGGACTAATGCCGATGTTTTTCCTTACACGATATATACCGGTGGAGGGCGTGACGTACCTCAGGACCGCAGATATAGTCCTTTGCATAGGTGTCCAAATAGGTGGTAGATAGAGTATCAGTTCAAATTGAAACTGTCTGCAAATTAAAGTATTTTTTTAAAGTTGTTTATTCCAAAATTTTGTTTTTAAATCTGTTTTTTTTTTTTTTTTTTTGTTAATTCAAACATGTCCAGCTATGTTGATATTTTATGCTCAATAACAGAATTTTAACAACTTTAATGTGCTGTATACTGATGGTTCAAACATCATGGTTTAAGCACCATGTTGCTCGTGCAGTTGTGTGCAATGCAGAGTAGAAACTGCCTTCTATCTGTTCTGTATTTTCTTCAGAATGTAGTGCCATTCTAGTCGCTCCCCAATTTATTTCAAAATAGTAATTTAAACAGTGGGTAATTTTTTCTGATTCGAAGAGTTGCATCGATGCATTAAGTAATTCTGGCAGAAAAACCTCACTGTATTACCCCTTATATTATAAATTTATATTTTAAATTGAGCAACAATAATTATGATATAATATTCCATTGGATTCCAGGACATATGGGCATTACGGGAAATGAGGCAGCAGATTCCATAGCCAAAGCAACAAATAACCTCTCCAATAAGTCTCTCTGTTTCTGAGACATTCGAAATTGGATAACAGATTCTCTAACACAGCTCAGACAACTAAACTAGAATACTGAATGTAATAAATTGCGCGAAATTAAATCGGAAATCAAATCATTTAAAACATTAAACTACATTAGAAAATTACATGTTATCATCAATAGACAACGCATTGAACATACAAGTTTGACATACAATTATTTAATTTTAAAATGAATCGCCCCCACAATGCAGTTTTTGCAGAGAATATTTTACGGTAAAACATTTTCTAATCCAGTGTTAGAAGTTGAAAATTAAAAGACGACAGTATTTCAACTGTGATTTCCCGATTTTAGCAATTTTACTTGGAGACACACTTCATCCTAACTTAATTCTTTGCCTCCTAGACAACGGATTTTATAATTCGATTTAGTTAAAATTTTAATAAATAGTAAAGTTTTTACCTAGTTATATTGGTTTTAGTTAAATTACTTTAGTTTTAATTTGGTTGTTTTGATTTTGACCAAGTTTCTTTAAATCCAACCTTGTTTTTGGAATTTAAAATAATTATATAAATTCGGACAGATACCTTAAATTTTAAACAAGCTCTATGAACTTTCAATCTAGTTTCAGTCGCGGTAAAACCAAATCATGGCTCCTGCTCCAAAAACTTTCATCACTCTCTTTTAATTCAATTTTTTTTCGCCTGGCGATTTCTCGATTTATATTAAACCTTAAGTTGAAAATTGGCAATCGGCTTGAAAGAAGTTTATTGCTTTAATTTATAAATATTCGCAAAAATTTTATCATTTTTTCCAAAATAAACAATTTCTTATAAAACTTAAGAAAATTAACTTTTTTCTAATTTAAAAAAATGCTTTTTATTTTAAAATTAATGTTTCTATTCATAAACATGTTTTTCATGACTTTGACGTGCAAGACGTCATAATATAATCATTACAGTGTTAGTTAGTTCTAAAGAAAATATAAATTATAAACGTTTTTGCAATGTTCCGAAAAAGTGATTGCATTTAAATAATGTTTGTTCTTTTGTGTCTCACGGAAAGTATCATGCTATGAAAAAGCTGTTATCTCTGTGATGTGTGTTGATTTATAATCTTTTGATTGTGTTTCTGTTAATACAGTGTTTTAATTTATTTAAACTGATTAATTTTCTTCATCCACAGATACAAGCATTATTAATATTTTTACTTCTGAAGTGGAATATCTAAATTATGTATTTATAACTGACTTTGCGATTGAAGTATACGAGGGGAGTGTGGAAGATCTAGGGGAACACAATTTGAAGAAATACGACATAAAACAACATGAAAAAGGTTACATCGCAGTCCTGTTCCTGAAACAGGATTTTGTATTTTATATTCAGCTTTCTTCACAGAAAGTACCTTTCTTTTGCGTCAATGATGTCGGACCTCCAAGCACGACAACCACATCTTCCTGGGATTTTATTACAAGTACTTCGTTAAGGTAAGTACAGAAAATGGTCGGATGTAACTTTCTTTATAAACTTCCTGATTCTCTCGACTGGTTACAAAATCTGCTTAGTTGATTAAAATATATGCAATTCCGGTTGCAATTTAAAAAAACAAATTCTCAGCTAAAATGTTAAAATACATCATGACTTGATTCTCTGCAATGTTGTAATGGTCCCGACTTCTCCTATAAAGTACAAGAAGCCGTGATGGGCTGAGGGGATAGAGCGTTCGACTTCCAATGAGGTGAACTGGATTCGAATCCTAACGATGGCTGATTGATACGAATTCCACATCCGGCTTGCACCGACCACAGTGCTCACGAAATATATCCTTAGTGGTAGACGGATCATGGGTTAGAGTCCCCTTGCCATCAGACTAATTGTGGGTGGTTTTTGTGACTTTCCTCTCCATGTAACGCAAATGAGGGTTAGTTTCATCAAAAAATCCACCACGACGGCAAATTTCTCCCACTACTTGATTCAGAAGTTCCCTTGTCTTCTGCTCTGGGTTCAAAATGACAAGGCTACGGAGTTGAACATTAGTAGTCGTAAGCCCAAAAAATTGAGTCGGCTGTTCAATGACGGTTATAAAATAAAATACATATTAAGACCAAAGAATATAAAAACCATTTAATGATTTTGCATCTCAGTATGTGATAGTCCAATGATTAGATCAAAAGTTATTAAGATGTCACGTTTATTGTTTTTCGCGCTGTACATCCCTTGATTAATGTATCCATAGAAACAATTTATTAAAAACTGGATATATAAGTCAAATATGTATAGCCAGTTTAGAATATTTTTTCCCTTAACCCTCTAGCTGCGCATCCCGCTATTTCCACGGACAACTCAAATGTAGTAAAATTTTCGCATCCCACTATTACCACGGACAACTCAAATGCAGTAAAATTTGCGCATCCCGCTATTTCCACGGACAACTCAAATGTAGTAAAATCTGCGCATCCCGCGATTTCCACGGACAACTCAAATGTAGTAAAATTTGCGCATCCCGCGATTTCCACGGGCATGTGTTTTTCTCCCTTTATTAAGGAACGCATCCCGCTTTTTGACCGTTTAACCAGTGAAATAGATTATATATAGTATCAGGCGTCTAATTTAGGTTTTGACCAACAGATGCCGTTAGTCATCCATTAAATTGTCATCCAATTGAATTTACTTGGTATTTATTGCTCTACTTCACTATGTTTGCCTCTTTTTTTTCTAATCAGAAATGGCTGTTAGAACACGTTCCTGATAATTTATCAGATTCTGAAAGTGATTTTATTTTTGACAGTGATATAGAGTTTTCGGATAGTGATATAGAGTTAGTGATATCGGTTTTTCTAGCAGCTTAGTTCCTCTTGGAAAAAAATTCTATAAAGGATTATTAGATATGACCTATAAAAGATTTTTTTCTGGAAAGAAAAAATGCATGTTTCATTTCTCCAATATACATATATATAGATTAAAAATATGCAAACAAAATATCGATACAATTTTTGAAGCAATTTTGGAGTTTTCAGAGATAGAGTAGTCAGAGAGTTAAGGTCTGCATTTAATCAATTGGCAATCGCAAATAACCAATTGGATGTAGCATAATATTTGATAACTTTACAATAATTTTGAATAGTTGTGTGTATGTTGAATATGTACAGTAACATTTTTTCTTTCATATAAATTACAGGGATGGTACATCAGATTCTGCTAGCATCACAGAAGTCAAAGGTAATTTATTAAAAACTTCTTAAATCATAGATACATAGATTTGTTTAGTGGCAGAAAAATCTGGAAAAATTCTAAAACGTTGTAAAAAAGTCATTTAAAGTACATTATATACAGGAAATAATTTATCTAGAGTCTCATACAAAATTACAGATTCATAATTATATATTATATTCCTAGCAGGATATGATTTACTGCTATTTATATATAATATTTAAAGGGGGGAGCAAAATTTGAGAGATATCGTAGTATTGGAAAGGGGGGGAATACGATGAAGAAGACGACTGTGGCAATTGTGAGAAAACAGGTCACTCGATTACTTCATCCACTTATGAAAGGTGATGAAATAAAAGCTATCCACTTATAATATAAATTGAAAACAAAGTGTTATCAATGTGATTTGTAATTATTATGGATACTATGCAGTTTACTTAAAATGTCTTTATTCGAATTACAAGATCCGGATTTTTTTTAAAATATACACTTTTGAAAATCTTAGCCACTTTTCCACTTTTTTATTCTTTACTACTTTTTTTCCCACTCCGTCCTTATAGTCTGTCTGTAAAAAGAACTCCCTCAACAGGTGTGGTGACTATGTTTAAGTGGTTTAAATAAGTGGGGTTTGTAGCTATCGACCATGTCAACCGTCATCTATGAAAAGGTACCCCTACATAGAGTCGAGTTAACATGCCTTATATACTAGTGAATTGTAGTTGTAATTTTTGTAGTGGTAGATTCGCTACAGTACTCCCCCACCAGAATTATATCTCTGATAGAATTCGATGAATGGATACCTCTAGTTGAATCATTGCTGTTTTTTGTGCGAAGCCGGGAGAGCTGTATTAAGATCACCGTACTTTTTGAGTGCTGAATGTGAGAGGTGTATTAACTTCACGGTCGTAGTTGCTCCTGTGTTGCCTTTAGCAGTCGAGTGTATGCAGGCCGATGTTATGCGCTCGAGACTGAGTTGCAACAGCGCGAGGAGGTGGATAATGTTGCAGTCACAAGTAGCAAGTCAACTGTTCAATGTGGAACATCCATCGAAGTAGGCGTTACTGTCAAGATAGCCTTGTTCATATCGAAGTGGGCGTTACTGCCAAGGTAGGCGTGTTCACATCACGTCCGAAGGTCACCAATGTGGGGAGAGTTATCGACTATGTCAACCGTCATCTATGAAAAGGTACCCCTACATAGAGTCGAGTTAACTTGTCTTATATACTAGTGAATTGTAGTTGTAATTTTTGTAGTGGTAGATTCGCTACAAATACTTCAACTAGGAGTGTTGGGTTTATATTTAATACAATGGTAGGCAAGAGAAAAGGAATCAGGGAGAAAAAAGTTCCCCTCTTTGAAATAAGCTATTTCTTGCATTCATAGCAGTTCATGGCGTGAGGAGTTCTTTCTATAGACAAACTGTACTTTTTTTCCATATTTGCTTTATCCATCTGAAAGAATTTCTTCATTTTTTTATTAATATATGTTTAGATACGAATTCTGACTGCATCATCAAGATGGAATGGATTCCTTATTGCCCAGTAACGGATGAAGTTGGTCTATGCTCCGCCGACAACTTAACGAACGCTGAAAATATCTGCCAACAGAATGGTATGGACTTCTACCATCCCAAATCCGTTGAAGAGTTCCGAGAGGATTTGTCTGCGCTTCAGTTTCATGCTTTCATTGAAAAGTAAGCAACCCCATGTACAGTGCGCAAAGAAATAAACGGATAACTCTGAATAACTGTTGATTTAATAATCTGTTCTTCAAGTTCTGGAACTGGTTTGAAAGGGTGACCTCAAATATGCTAATTAATTGATGCAGACGATATTTTAAATTAAGAAATCAACAACAAAAACGTACTTTCTCTGAATAAGCATATCTGTTGTTCAACGGATTCGGATTTCTGACTCCCAAAATTAAGGAGATTGCCGTAATCTGTGTAATATAGTTTGATCAGAAGAGCACTCCACAATCTCGATGTTACATTTATTTTTTGCGTATTTCGTCATATATCAAAAACTTTTTAAGGGAATTTATAACGTTTTTGCATACAGTTGCAGTGGTCGATTACCAAAAGATANACCCGCGGTCCCTACGCAGACTGACCCAAGTGGTCACCCACCCGCACACTGACCGTAGCCAGTGATGCTTGACTTCGGTGATCTGCTGGGAACCGTGTCTTGACGTTTATCAAAAGTAAGAAAAAAAACTTGAATTGTGTTTTTATACAATTCTTGTGAGGTACACATGGAAAAAATATTTGAGCAAAATTGGTCGAATAGTTCCAGAGAAGTCAAATTTTAAGTAAGCTGTATGAGTATATAAGTACGAGTAAGTTGTATGTGTATTTTTCAAATTTGATTTCTCAGGAAATATTTGACCTATTAAACCGATCACTTCATAGAAAGTACGATTATAACTTAAACTATCGTTCACTCTAATTAATTAGCATATTTGAGATTCAAGCCATTAAGATTGAGTTCTAAAGTGTGAAGATCCGATCATTAGATCAAAAACTATTCCTGGTGGTACATTCATTTTTTCCCACACTGTTTTCCCACACAAAATTTTACTTGTTTTCAGCTTACTATACCTTACTATTTAAGTTAATCAAGAGAATGTGTTTGTTTCTTAACTTTCAAATATGAGTGGAGTTTAAAAAGTTGCAAAAATTCAAGAAATTATGTAATCTAACAAGTTAAAATATACTCTTCTTAAAACCAAATTACACGAATCCCGTTGAGTGGTTAGTTACGAATTTAAACTCATTTAATTTTGATTTACTAGATTAGTTAATTCTAGTTATGAGAACTAAAGGCCTGTTTATACGGTCTAAGTTCTTAAATCCGAGAACTTGTCGGAATTTTGCTCTATAAGAAATTAGATAATTCGTCGATACTATCCAAGTTCTTGAATATCCCTTATTGGTGGGATGAATAACCTGCGCATGCGCATTGTTCGGACTGAACATTATACTTACATGAATTCAAAATTGCAAAATAAATTCGAATAAAATAATAATAACACAAATAGACCCCAATATTTTCATTTATTTGGATTAAAATATACGAAAACGGACAACAAAGTGACATAATCATATGCCTTCTTGCGGACGTCACAAAACTTTAGAAGCTGATTGGTTAAAGGAGGAAACACGTCCGATTTAAAATAGAACATGCTCTACTATCATCCAAGTGCTTAGACCAAGAAATTTAATGATTTGTTGACACTATCCATGTTCTTGAATGTCCCTGATCATCCAAGCGCTTGGACCAAGAACTTGGATGATCATTTACATGATCCAAGTTCCAATCAAAACAATCTTCCACCAATCTTGGTTCAAGAACTTGGATCGTATAAACAGACCTTAACTATATTTTCTTAATTTGCAGGAGAAACTACTAGGGTCCATTACTGGACTCGAATAGAATATCCTTTTTTTATTATACGAATTTCTTCAAGTGAAATATATCAATGGGTGACGGATAAAATGAAAGATACCGATAGGTCGAAATATAATTTGGAGAAAGACGACAATGGCTACATCACTGTAATATTGGAGAAGAAGAATTACATTTTTGTTCCTCAGAGTCCGTGGAGAGATGTGCCTTTCTTCTGTGTAAAAGATGCAAGATCTTCTTTGACCACATCGAAACCAAAGTGAGATTTATTCGACAAAATTGAAAGATTCAAACTCACTTAACATTTATTGTCTTGTTATTCAAAAAATATTTTTAAAAAGTTCCAAAGGCATTTCTTCATTTTAAGGAAACCCAGAATACCTCATTTAAATTTGTTTGCCTTGGGAAATGTTCTTCAAAATATTATTTTGTTATTCAAAAAAAGGATTTTAGGAGAAGCTAGGAACGAATTTTTAATTTTATTAAAGGGATAAAAATTTTGGTTCTTAACAATAAAAACTCGTACTCAAAAATATAGCTTTATCATTCTGAATAGTTTTAAAGAAGTGTCCAATAAACTTTTTACAGGAGAAATTTATAAATCAAATTTATAATTAAAATGAAAATTTGTAAGAAGGGAGGGTATTCAGTTTCATGAGAATTATAATTTACAATAACAAAACGTATTCTAAAAGATCAGTTGGCTATTCCAAATCGTTTTTCAAAATTTCAAAAACGCGATCTTCCTATAAAAACTCCAGAATACATTTTAATACCTTTAAAAGTATCTAAGCAATTGTAAAAGTTTATAATAATTTGCAATTAAAAAACGTGCTCTAAAATGTCATTTTGTGAATTCCGAAATGCTTTTTTTTTTAATTACAACAACACAACGTGCTCTATTTTGTTATTCAGAATCGCTTTTTAAGATTTCAAAAGTTTGATCTTTTTGTAAGAAACCCAGAATACATATATAAACCCTCTTAGAAATATGGACAGTTTTATGAGTTTTTGTAGTTTATAATTTAAAAACACGTGATCTAAAACATCAGTTTATATTTCAGGAAAAAAATTTAGCATTTAAAATATCTTTCTTTAGGAAGTCGTTGATGCAAATTAAATGTTTGTTTGTTTTTGTTTTCTTTTTTAAAAAAAACAATACATGTGCTCTTTTGAGTTTCTCGATACTTACAACAAAGCATGTTCTAAAATGTCATTTTGCGATTCAGGAACGTTTTTTCGTTATAATTTTAAAAGGTTTATATCTTTCTTAAGGAATCCCGAAACACGTTCCGTAGGTATTTTCTTTTTTTTCTATGCGTGCAACCTTATGAACTTTTTGTAATGTAAAAAAACAAAACGTACTCTTAATTATAGCTTAACGTTTTGTTATTTAGAGTAACCAAGCGTGCACAAAGACTCTGATTTGGAAAAAAAATTATATTTAGGGTCTAAGTTTGACACCATAAACGTAATTGTTTCTTTTAGATTTCAGAAAATTTATTTTAAATCAATATGGTGAAAAATTGCTCAAACAAACTGCACAAGATACGATTATTGAAGATTAACAAAATCAAACCTACACAAAAGCTAAAAAGGGTCTCTTTCATTGTTGTTGTTGGCGTACGCCATTAAGGCAAGAAGTGTGATTGTTCTTGTTTTCCAGTGGCGCAATCTATTCTATCAAGAATTCGACTTCTGCCGAACCCATACGTCGCACTCGCTTGCAGGGTGCACCCATTCATACATCCATTCATTCATCCACAGATCGTAATTTTGATCTGAGCCAGAGAGTAATCAATCTGCAATTCTGTACCCCCAGAGGTTTAATTTGTTATGGGAACATGGAGGACTTTGTGATCCGACAAATTTAATTTGCACCAGTCACTATTCACTACACTTTTGACCGGCTGGATTCGAACTTCAGTTTTCCTAAACGTGAGTCTAGCTCCCTGCCAACCAGGCTATCCTGGCCAGAGTGTCTCTTTTACTAAAATGAAGCCATTATTATATTTTTGTGCAATATAAACAAAAAAAACAAATAACATAAAAATTAAAAAAATAGATAACAAAAACATAAAAAACAGATTGCAAGCAATAGAGTGTAAAAAATAATTTTTATGGATTAAATTTATTGTATTTCTCCTCATTGAAGTTGATGGCTTCGTTTATCTAATAGTGTCAGATTTCGGTATCATTAAAGTGGAAAGACTTCAAGATAATTTGTCTTTCGTGGAAGAAACAGTAATTAGTTTCTTATGGGTAAAAATTTAGTGAGAGTACCATTTTTAATGCTAAAACCAGTAACAACAATGCTCGCAAAACTCAAGTATTGTTTCAAAAGCCTTAAGTGGAAAGTCTGAAACCACCCTTCATACAGTCCGGACTTGGCACACAGTGATTATTTCCTGTTTATAGAAGTGAAATAAAATTTTTATGAAACAATGTTCTCTTCAGACACAACGGATGAAAAAAAGGCTCATGCAGCGACCTGGTTTCTACTTGCAAGGGGTTTTCTACTTATTATACTTACAGTACTTAAAAGATTTTATTTTATTAACTTATTATTATTAAGTTTTTAAAATTGTAGTACTTACCTGGAATTTGCATACGTGGTTTCTTTTTACAATCGGTTTTCTAGTTATTGTACTTAAAATACTTTATTTTATTAACTTATTATTACTAAGTTATAGTAATTGTAGTACTTAAAAAGGATTTACAAACGCAGTTACTACTTACAAGGGGTTTTCTACTTATTATGCTTACAGTACTTAAAAGACTTTATTTTATTAACTTATTATTACTAAGGTATTGTAATTGTAGTACTTGCCTGGGATTTACTTACGTGGCTTCTACTTACACAGTACATCAGTAAAATTCTTAAAGAAACAAGCCAAGCTTAAATTAAAGATCATGTTTAAGAACGCAAGATGGGATAAAAATCTCAGGATGCATTCATGGGTCGAATGCCTCAACCATTCGACCACCAATGGTCTTTTTCTACTAGGCATTTTTAATGTTCTTTCTTTCTTCATTCTTTTTTTCATTCATGAGTCGAATGCCTTAATCATTCGGCCACCATTGGTCTTTTTCTATTTGTCTGTTGTTTCATCTCTTTCTATTTGTCATTTTCAATGTTATAAGCTGATACTTGAAGAGTCATACATTGACCAGGGGCAAATTTTTATCTCACCTAATGTGTTCGGCTTTGCTGTTATATTAAGGCTTGGCTTCGTTTATAGGAATTTTTTAGCTGTGTACTTACTTTGTCAGATGGGTTGAACACGATCATCTTGCGTTTCGTTCAATGGTTTAGTTTTAGCAATTGTGTAGAAATGTGATTGACAACTATGCCTCTTAAATCAATTTTGTGTACAGCTAGTCAATAGTTTTGCATTTCTCTTACAAAATTTTTTATGCATCCGCGTAAATTTAGTCAATTTAAATTATTAAACCTTTAACAAAACTGGCACTGCTTTCAATGATAGTTGAAAACTCAAAAGTTTTAATTGTAAACTTAACGTATGGTTCTATCTAAACTTAACTTTACCTTAGATCATACGTTTCATGTATTGATTATTTTTGTGACATTACTAACTTTTTCATTCATATCTTTTTAGAGATGAGACCCACGAGACCATGCCAGATACTACTTTCACGACAGACTCCGGTATTTTAATTGATCCTCCTTCTACCATAAGTTTTATCTTATAGATTACATAATGATATATATATAAATATATACCGTAGAGCCATTATATTATGACCACCCTGCTAATAACATGTAGGACCACTTTAGCCCTCAAAACTGCTAGCACCCGCAGTGGCGTTGATTCCACAAGGTGCTGATAGGTAGTCTGAGGTATCTGGTACCAAGCGCTCACCAACTGGTCCTGCAATTCCCTCACATTGCGAGGGGGTAGCGTGACAGCACGAATTTGGTTTTCCAAGCAGGATCACAAATGCTCTATTGGATTAAGGTCAGGTGAATTTGGGGGCAAAGACATGACTTGAAAGTCACTGGAATGTTCCTCGAACCAATCCATGACGATTCGACCCTTATGACATGGTGCATTATCCTGT